ATAGACAAAACTACAAAATCATACCCTTTCAGGACAAATTCTAGGGTGTGTGAATTATCTTAGCAAAGCTGTTCTTTGTTAAAAAATGGATCCTTTGGGGATCAGCAGTTGGCGTAATGGCTATGTCACCAGACTCCCATGTAGTCAACCGTGGTTCGAGTCCTGGACCTGGTGGCTTAAACTCACATCGGGGGGGTGTGCATGCGTGCCCAAGATCCTGAGAGAATAGAGGAGAAGGGATTTTGGTGTGGCCATCCCCCCAGGGGGGTGATTTCTCGCTTTCTGTTTCTTTGTTTCTCTCTGTCTTTCTGGCAAGCGCACATGCCCTGTAACAAAGAACTCTCCAAAATAAATAAATAAATAAATAAATGGATTCTATGTCATAGATTACCTGCCATGTTTTGTCCAGTAAACTGGACACCCATGACCAAACTTCGAGAGAGAAAGAAAATTACAGCTATTTCCCTTAATATCTAAAGATATATCCATCCAGTCCATTTCCTAAACATGTTGGGTACTGGTCCTCAAAAATATCTTTTAGAATTAAGTAACTGGTTTCATGTAAATCTTTCATTTTAAGTAGTAGTTCAAATGGCCTGTAGGGATCTTAAGACTGTAACTATTTGTTTAAATCATTAGCTTATTTGAAGAGGTAATGCATTAAAAAGTCATTGGGGACAGCCTGTAGCTTGGTGTTTAAGGAGCTCACCCAACATGATCAACTGCAATGGTTGGAGTCCTAGAACCCACAGCTTAGAAAACATGCCAGTCATGTGTGCATGTGTGCCCCAAATCCCAAAGGGAGCAGAGATGGAGAAGGGACAGCTGCATGACTATGCCCCATGGTAGGTGCTTTCTCCCTTTCTTTCTTTGTCTCCCTCTGGAGCATACATTCCCTCTTGCAAAAAAAAAAAAAAAGGCTGATGTATTCCATGATTTTAAGAGGCCACCTGTGGTAGCATGTGCTACAAGGCCTATGCTCCATAGGCTGGGACCACATCAAAGGCCTGAGTGTGATTCCTGGTCTATCCTACAGGCTGGCCATGGTGGTGTGCACCTATAACCCCAGCAACTCAAGGAGGCTGAGATGAAAGGATGGCATGCTCGAAGCTGGCCTGGGTGACAGAGTGAAACACTGTCTAAAAAAGAGCTGAGCGTGGTGATACATGCCTGGAGTCCCAGCTGGGAGGCTGAGGCAGGAGGTTCACAACAGAAAGACCCTGTCCTAGAAGTACTATAAGAATAAACAAAGAAACTGATAGCAGATGAAAGTTATACAGTGAAATTGAGACCTTACTTCTCCTACGCCAACTACCTAATTCTCTACATTAGAAGAAAGCGTTTTTAGTTTTCCTGTCTATAGAAAATCGTATGTGTGTATGTATGTGTGTACATTTGATTTTCATGTTTAACAGAATGGTCTAAATACCCTTCTGCACTCTACTACTTTTCATAGCAGCCAGCAATGCGTGTGCTTGTCAGAGACAGAGGGAGAAAGCACCCCACAATGGCATATAGTATTCATACTATACAATTCCTTCTCTTTCTTTTCTTTTTTTTTTTTTTTTTTTTTTTTAGAGGATTGTTGCTTTAGGGTGAGTGTGAGTTTGTAGAGGATTGTTGCTTTAGGGTGAGTGTGAGAGAGAGACAAAGAAAAGTGAGAGGGGAAAGTGAGAGATCACCCCCCCGGAGGGATGGCCATGCCACAATCCCTACTCTTCTTGAATCTTGGGTGCGTACATACATGAACCCAGCCTGAATTTTAAGCCACCAGGTTGGCCATGTGGGAGTCCAGCGACGTAACCCCTATGCCATCTGCAGGCCCCACAATTTCTTCCCTTTCATCTCTCATGCTGTCAGGACTCTGGGCACACATGCACATGCACACACACACACCAATCTGGCACGTTTTTAAAGTTACTTTAAATGCGATCTGGCACACCTCATCTGGTTCCCTTAACCACTAGGCTACAAGGTCGGTATCTGCACTGTCCTTTCATACTTAACGTTTCCCAAAGACCCTGCCATATGGGTACTTGCAGGGCTTTCTCACAGTAACAGCCATCCCACTGCATAGACAGACTGTAATACATTAGTCATCCACTATTACTATTATGGTTATTGCTACTGTTTTCCAATTTTTTAAAGAATTATTTTATTTAACTTTATTTATTTACTTATTTATTTATTTTAATTTGACGAGAGAGGGGTAGAATGAGAGAGAGGAAAAGTGAGAAAGCAAGTCACCAGGTCTGGGACTTGTAGGAGTCCAGTGCCCTTAACACCACGCCACCTGCTGGCCTATTTTCTAATTATAAACAGTGTAGCAATCAATAACTGTAAGTTGTTTTACACTTGTGCAAATATACCGTGAGATAAATATCTTGGGATAAAACAATGAAGTTATGAGGCTAGCCAGTGGCATGATGGTTAAGGTGACTGGGTCCCATGTGGCCAGCTCGACAGTTTGAATCTGGGATCTGGAAGCTTGAAAAACAGGCTGGGCACATGTGTGTGTGTGTGCCCAAAATCCCAAGAGGAGGATGGAGGAGAAGGGGTTACAGACTACAGTGTGGCCATCCACCCGCAGAGTGCTTTCTCAAATTTCCTCCCCCTCTCTCTTCTCTTTGGTGAGTGCACGTACCCTTTAGCATATTAAAAACCAAACTGGGGAGTTGTAAAGTGCATTTATTTCACATTTCAATCGATAGCACACCAAGTGCTTTCCAAAAATACTCAATTTTTGAAAATTCACCCCGAAAAAAGTGACTGCCAATTTCCCCTTTCCAATATGACGTAGCAAACTTTTCCACTTCTGACAATCAGGTGATAATTAGGACTTTATTGCACTGCTAATTTGTAATTTACTAAATATAAGTGAAAATGACATCTTTTCATTGTTTAAATGTCAGTATCATTTATGTTTCTTTTTAATGATTATCAATCTTTCATTTTCTTTTGGGCTTCACTTGCCTTTTACTTATTTATTCATAGGCTCCACACACACAAATTTGCCATCTTATGTATTAAAAATATTTCCTGGGCCACCAGGTAGCATGGTGGTTAAGAGGAGAAGGGACTGCAGTGTGGCCATCCCCTCTGGGGTTGATTTCTCATTTTTCCTCTCTCTGTTTCTCTCTGGTGAGCTGTGTACTCTATGCCAACAGTTTTTGTTTTGTTTTTTATTTTACCTCAGTTTTTCTTCTTTTTTTATTTACAACATTTTCTTCTCTGCAGAAACCCTACATTTTTTATGGTGTAAAATATGTTTTTTAAATGACATCTACATTTTTTGTCTTTTTGTTCCCCATTTGTTATAGGGCATGTGCACTTGCCAGAGAGAGAAAGGGAGAGAGAGAAAGTGAGAAAGCACTCTTTGGGATGCCAAAACAATCCCTTCTCCTTCATTCTCCTCCTGGGATTTTGGGCACAGACGCACGCATGTCCAGTGTGCTCTGCACGCTGCAGAGCTGGGACTTGAACCGCACGTCTGCCATGTGGGATCTAGCTGCCTTAACCACTATACCATGGCCTGGCCCATCACGTTTTAAAAAGTCATTTATGTTCAATTTTTATGTCTAGTTTTTCAGTTCACTATAAATATATATGTAGAATTTATTTTGATATATAGTTTTTTCTTTTTAATAGCCAGAGTGTGCCTGCACTTGCCAGAAAGAGAGAAAGAGAGGGAAAAGGAAAAAGTACTGTCCAATGGGGCATGATCATGCTGCAATCTCTTCTTGTCTTCATCCTGTCTGGATGTTGGGCATGTACACATGTGCCTGGCATGTTTTTCAAGCCACTAAGGTTAGAATTTGAGCCACGGACAACCACATGGGATCTGGTTCCCATAACCACAGGATATGGGCCTGGCCCTAGTATAAAGTTCATATAAGAGCTTCTCCAATCCCAAACACTTGCAGAAATCAGAAAGCTATTGTTCTTTCCATCAAAATCCAACAGAGAACTCATTCAAACAGCTGACATTTAAAATCCCAGAAAATTCCCAACAGATTAAAAGTGCTAGATCACTTAAAATAGGTCCTCTCAAGGACTTGGGCAGCTTCATAGCAGCTTTAATTAACCAACTCCCTAATGAATTTTCCAAATAAAATGTGAAGCAATATGCAATTTGAGATTTCTAAAACCTATCCTTTATACACCCTCTTAATTAACTCACTTTTATTTTCAATTTTTTTACATGTCATTGATACTAATGACAATCACCAAAAACTTTGCTAAGACAGTTCCCCCCAAAAGCCCACTCTACGCACCATGTATTAAGAATAAGATGTACGGGGATCAGCAGGTGGCATGGCGGTTAAGGCGCTGGATTCCCACATGGCCAACTACAGTTTGAGTCCTGGACCTGGCAACTTGCTTTTTCACTCTCCCTCTCTCTCTGACTTTTTGATGAGCACATGTGCCCTGTAGCAAATTTTAAAAATAATAAATATTGGGGCCAGCAGGTGGCATGGTGGTTAAGGTGCAATGGACTCCCACATGGTCGACTGCGGTTTGAGTTCCATACCTGGCGACTTGCTTTCTCACTTCCTCTCTCTCTCCCACTCTGGTCAAGTTAAAATAAATAAAGTTAAATGAGATAATTCTTTTAAAAAATACTAAATAAAATTAAATTTTTTAGTAATTATTGTATTTAATTTATTCTTTTTTTTTTAATTTGACCAGAGAGAGTCAGAAAGAGAGAAAGGGGGAAAGTGAGAAGTAAGTCGCCAGGTTCAGAACTTGAACCACAGCCAGCTTATGTGGGAGTCTGTGTCCTTAACCACCACACCACCTGCCAGTCCCAAAATAATTCTTAAAAATAAGAATAACATGTACAAAATGAAAAGGAAGTTCATTACCAATTTACATCATTCATAGATGATAGGTTGATATAGTTAATATTTTTAGACTTCCTTTAAAGCTTTTTTACTGAAGAAAACGATTACAGAGAAAAAAAAAAGTGATCCATTCAACCAAATGAACAACTAACTTACCATGTGTGGGGCACTGATTGTTGCCTGGAAACCTGCAAAACAAGAAGAGAACTACTGATACATTCTGCTGCAAAAAATATATAGAGTACTGCATGCAATTCCTTTTAAACATCCACACATCATTTTTCATAGTTCTTTTTTAATTTTGATGATCTCAAGAAAATGAAACTTATTTGTTAGAATACTGACACATGGCAGCTAAAATTAGAAAAGATGGTCTTGCCAAATGCTAATGTACTCACCTATTAAAACAGTTAAAATATTTCTAAAAACTTTTTCTATTGTCTTAGCTAGCAAAGAAAGAATTTCGATATGTTGATAGATTTTTTTCACTTGTTTTTCCTTCAGATTTACAAAAAGAAAGTAAGTCTCCAAGTATGATAGACATGCACAAGTTTTGTAAAATTTAATTGCTTCTTGTTTCTGACAATTTTTAAAAAAATACTAGAGCAAATGATAAAGTAGCTTAAGAAACTAATAAACTATTTTGGGACCAGCAGTCAGAGTAATGACTATGTCGCTGGACTCCCACGTAGTTGACCACGGTTCATGTCGCGGACATGTGCGTGCCCGCCCAAGATCCCGAGAGGAGAATGGAGGAGAAGGGATTGTGGTGTGGCCATCCCCCCTGGGGGGTGATTTCTTGCTTTCTGTCTCTCTGTCTCTCTCTGTCTGGCGAGCACATGCACCCTATAGCAAAAACCTCTCAAAAAAAAAAAAAAAAAAGAAAAGAAAAGAAACTAATAAACTATTTTTATTTATTATTTATTTTATGATCTGATGTTAATTCACAGAAGCCTTTTTCAGTTTTTAGCTTTCTGGTTTCTTTTTTCACACTGTTGTGCTCTCAAAACTTATTTACCTGCTTCTGCCTTGGAAGCAATTTTCACTGAGCGGTGGTAGCAGGTGCCTTCGGGGTTCAGAAGCTCCCCAGGATCTTCTCTGCTGACTGTTACAGTGCTTCAAAAGAAGACAGCATGGCAGCTGGCCGACAGAATCCCGAGGCACTTCTAAGCCTCAAAGGCGCCCACTGCCAAGGCTCAGCAGTTCAGCAAAACCTGCTTCAGGAGAAGGAGTTAAATATGGGACGTTCTAAAAGCAAACACAAGCCAAAAACAGCAGGGGCAAGTGATGCAGAGGAGTAATTAATAACTTGCTTACACTTACATCCTTATATATCGATTCAAAAAGTTAATGCCAAGATAAAATATAATCTTTAGTCAACAATAAGGCCCTAAAGAAAACAGCACTCAGATACAATGTAAACTTTTCATTAAGAGTTTTTTTCCTCATTAAAATGTTTTTTTTTCCTTTTCTTTTTTTTTTCTTTTTATATATATTTTTTTTTTTTTGGAGGGGTTTTTTCTATAGGGAGCGTGCGCTCCCCACA